TTTTTTATTTATATAAGGTTATCTTATTTTAAGGTTATTATAAGAGGCTATTAAGGTAAATAATATATTATTATTTCCATTATATATATTATATATATATCTATTAAGTTTTTCTTTACTTATATAACCTATAAATAATATATAAAACTTTAACTCTTTTATTACTATAAGTATAAGATAAAAACTTTTTATAACTATAGTTATTACTTATTTATAAATTCTTTACTAGTTATTAACTAATTTAGCTAATTTACTTAATTTAGCTATTTATTTAATTAATATAACTAATCTAATTAATCTAGCTAGTTTATTAATATAATAAATAAGGTAAGATTTCTTTACTTTTATAGGCTTTTTCTCTCCTTTATTAACTAAATTCTTTATATATCTTTCTCTTCTCTTCTCTACTAGCCTTATATATAGGCTTTACTTATCTAAGCTATACCTAGTATATTATTCTTATTACTAATATTATATAAGAAACTCTATACCCTTATTACTATTACTAAGTAAGTATTATCTTTTTATCTTATACCTACCTTAGGCCTATAGCTAATCTTTTTTTAGATTTTATATAAAAATATTAAAAATACTAAAAATATTAAAAGTAATAAGTTTTAGTTTATCTCCTCTTTACCCTTAGGCTATCTACTAACCTATATCTCTAGATTATATTATATACTAAGCCTACTTAAGGTTTATCTTAAGAAATCTCTTATAGCCTTTATCTAAGGTAAATAAAGGTAGTTAATACTATTATTTATTTTAACTAAGCTAGTATATATTATATCTAATCTATATTTACCTTATATCTAGCTTATATTAATAAGAATAGGTAAAGGTTATATTTATATTAGGTATATAAAGCTTAGGTAATATTACTTTAATATAAGTCTACCCTTACCCTTAACTAAGACTAATATTAACTAAATAAGTAGTGTCTATTATTATTTTAGCTACTACTACCCTCTAGGCTTAGTACCTAGCTAATGCTAGGCGCGCCCTAGATAAGGTCCTAGTAGACGCTAAGTTTAGGCGTCTCCTAAGGGCTGCGGCCTAGGCCCGCTCTAACGCCGGTGGTACCACGGCCGAGGACCGCGCCGACCGGACCTGGTCCGCTGGCGGTGCTGCTGCGGCCCCGGCGATCACCATCGCCACCGCTGCCGCTGCCGCCCCCGCCACGGGGCAGGTCGTGAGCCTATCCCTGCCGGACCAGGCCCTGTTCGC